TTATTTATTATTTTATTGTTTATTATTTATTTTATTATTTATTATTTATTTTATTATCTATTATTTATTTATTATTTATTTATTATGTATTATTATTATTTATTAGTATTATTCATTATTTATTATTTAATTTTTTAATTATTATTTATTATTATTTATTTATTATTTTATTGTTTATTATTTATTTTATTATTTATTATTTATTTTATTATCTATTATTTATTTATTATTTATTTATTATGTATTATTATTATTTATTAGTATTATTCATTATTTATTATTTAATTTTTTAATTATTATTTATTATTATTTATTTATTATTTTATTGTTTATTATTTATTATTTATTTTATTATTTATTTAGTATTTATTTAGTATTTAATATAATTATTTATTATTATTCATTATTATTTATTATTATTTATTATTTATTTATTATTTATTATCTATTATTTATTTATTATTTATTTTATTACTTATTTATTATTTCGTTTATTCATTTATTTATTATTATTTATTTATTATTTATTTTTATTTAATTTATTGTTTATTATTATTATTTATTATTATTCTTTAGTATTTATTATATTTATAATTTATTTATTATTTTATTATTTATTTTATTATCCATTATTATTTATTTATTCATTATTTATTATTTATTTGTTTTATTATTTAGTATTTATTTATTATCTATTTACTCTGAGGTTGTATAAAAGTTAGCGTGTGGGAAAGAGAATTTGGTGAATCAATTTCAAATTCCTTTTTAACTAAAATTACCCTGGATCATTTTTCTAAGCTCTGAGTTTAATAGCAGACTTGGATTTCTAACCTTGGTTGGCAATCAGTCTATGAGAAGCACAACTCTGATTTATATGCTGATAGGCATACTGCAGCTCTTCAGCCATGGTTGTCAATCTACCTAGCGACGATAACTAGATAAAAATTGTCATCTCCCAGCACCCTGAACCATGTATGAGAATGTGTCACCCCCCACCCAAAATTCTAACGTCACCTGGGCTACGTAATCTGTTGCAGGAGGAGATAGCGTTTATATATATATATATATATATATATATATACCCACTCTACGTGAGTAGATCGTTCAGCTATCGCTGCTATCCATGTCAGGGGACATAACTCGTTATTAGTTATTTTTAATTTGTCCATCGAATTCGTTTCTTCCCCTGGTTAAAAGGAACTAGAGAGTATATGGATTTAGCCGAGATTGAACTCCAAACCACCAAGTTAACTGTAACAAGCAACGCTAATATCCACGAATTGAACAATATGCAGGAGTCTTTGATCAGGAAAGAAATGACATAAGTTTTTAGGCTATATAAAATCTTCCACCTGAGTGTTTTACTATGGCCTAATGTGAGTTATCTCCCCTAGTACTGAGAATAAAACCTAAATCTATATTCATCTATTGAAAACATGGTTTGATTCGAAATTGCGAGAACGTTACTAAACAAAGAAGGTTGGAATATAGAACGGTCAAAATAGCTAAGATGAAAACAATGGTTTGTGTGAATGTATAATAATTTCAACATAGATATCCCAAATTTAAAATAAACATTGAATAATCCTCTTCTTCTCCATCCTTTTTCTCTCTTTTTCCTCCTCTCTTATCACTACCTTACATATCGTTATCTCCCCATGTGAAGAGCTATAACAGCCCAAGTCTTGTAGAGGCACGCAAACATAAAAGTAGCCATGTAATGCATTTATGTGTCATGGTCGACTTTTACCAAAAAAAAAAATATAACTCAATAAATCAAAATCGAAATAATAGGTCTTTATTCTTATTAATAGAAATGAAAATCACAGAATGGACACATATGTGCGTCTGAAGTAATATGCACATGCCACAAGACACACATGTGGGGCGTGTGGTAGTAACTGTGTTGAGAGTGATTTCTTAGATTATATTAGAACAAAGCCAACTTCTAAATTCTGTATGGAATAAATTCACGAGATGTTTGGAGAACGAACCGGCTGAATAATTTAAGATGTTCATGAAACGAGATACGAGATTCTGCTTTATCAGAAACGTTCCTCTTTTCTTTTCTGTTTTTTAATCAATTCACCCCAAGCAAGGCGATAACGCCACTAAAACACAAGTAGTCACTGAGAGTGAAAGAGACGGAAAAGAAGCAACCGGAAAGCCAATAATAGTATAAATTTTAGAGTCGAGGTGGAATCGTTAGATCAGAGTTTCTTAACTATTTTAAGCAACAGCACACCTAGGAACAAATTAAAATGTCACGGCACACTTAGCAAAATTTTTAAAGGCTATATATTTAAAGGCTCGGAAACTACGACAATATTAATACCTAATTCAATATAACTTTGCAAAAATTTTGAGTGGTTGAATACAGTTATATGAAAAAAGGTTAATATTCAGCTATTCAAATAGAGGAATTGTTAAAATACAAAAATAAAAATACATTTACAAAAATTAATATTAAAACAAAGTATTTAAAATAAAATAATCGAAGAATACTGAAAAGAATTATTTGAAAAAATGTTTAATACTTATTCATTTATTCAAATACTAATGCTGTACCATTACTACTTCCACACACACATACGTGTGTGTGTGTGTGTGTGTGTGTGTGTGTGTGTGTGTGTGTGTGTGTGTGTGTGTGTGTCGTGAGAGTGTTTCCTGGCACACTTAAGAGTATTGCGTCACGGTGGTTGAGAATCCCTGCGTTGGAAGCATAGATTGACGTAGAATTTAGAAAGAACCGGAAATTCAAACCTAAACAAGAGATAAACCTCTACTCCTGTTCAAAAGACCTGAGAGAAACGTAAAACCGACAATGGGCGAACCTATCTATGGAAAAATCTCATATTTAGACTTAAATATATATTTAAAGATATTAAGGAAAATCTATGGCTTAGTTTTGAAACTGGAAAATATTGGCGAAAAGGCATTTAAACAACCAACTACACCGTAAGCTACTCAAATAATTGGCTTCAATTCGCTCCGGAGTTTCTTGATATCAAGAAACATTCAAAGGCAGAAAGTGTTTCTTATTACAGGCATTATGAAGTGTACAGGAATTATACTAACTTTCTTACTCAGTTTCTTTCTTTCTCTTCATCTATTTCTTTTTTCTTTCTTTCTTTATCTCTTTCTCTCTTTTATTTTTCTTTTTTTATCTCCTTATGAAAGTAATTTAAAATCCAGAGCATTATTAGTAATTACATTTTTTTTTTCAGTAAATTAAGGCTAATTATTCAATTTAGTTCCCACTGCTCTGTCCATTCTGTATAACCACTCATGAACTGGCAGGGGGTGAGGGTGATACAGTGCCATGTTCGTCTATTCTGCAGAATTTGTACGGCTTTCAAAACGTGTCTTCCTGAACAGGAAAGGTATGAATCCATTTACTGCCCCAGCTATGGGCTAAATAGTAGAACTTGTATCCGGGAAAATCAGTACTATACAAAAAAAAAAGCGGTTAATGGAATATTCAGTTGCCGAGGGGTTAGAACGTTCGCTTTCCGACCATGAGACACGAACACGAATGGGCGCATGGCTGAGGGGTTAAAATGTTCGCTTTCCGACCATGAGACCCACGACCAGTCCGAACCGCAACATGGAGAAATTTTCTTGATGTTATCGGCGGAGTTGACCCAAGCCTTTCTTAGTGAAATTCGGTAGACAAAACAGTAATTTGTTAGAGCAGGGGTTTACAACAGGATTGGCTAGCCGCCTTAGCAGACTGGCATACTCGAAAACGAGCGGCCAGCCATTATATGCAAATCCAGCCGCAAGCCCTCACTCAATCCCATACTGTCGCCATTTTGAGAACTATTACATGCCTCCTACATATACAAATCTCTCAGCTTACATTGGTGAGATTGGGTACCACGTGACGAAATTCTGAATCATTCACAATCAACAACCTTCGAAGCTGTGCATGTTGATCGGCACCTACGATGGGTTGGCGATGTCATCCGTACGCTTGAGAACCGACCGCAACCTGCTTTCTTCGGTGAAGTGGAGACAAGCGAAAGGGCTGTCGATGACCAGTGCAAGCGATACAGGGATCTCAACACTCCCTAGACAATTAAAAATATTGGTTAATGACCGAGCCACTTGCCGACGTCTGGATAGGCTGTGCTCAAACAACAGAAGCAAGTTTGGGCTACCAAGCAGGGAAACGCTGTCGAAAACATCACTCTAAGAATCCTCCCAATCCTACTATACAAGATATTTTCGGATGCTCTATTTAGGGAAGCTACGCGATAACACATCTACCTAGGAAGGAACCAGTCGATCACCTCTGAAAATACAATCTGCGACGATGACGACGTCTAAAGTGTTATGTTGCCTTTTTATTTAATCGCCTCAAGTAAGGAAATAAAGTCACTAAGATTCAAAGGGTTACAGAGTATGGGATAATACGAGGAAAGAAAACATTATTAGGGAGTGAGAAAAAATGACAGAACAAGAATTAAGAAGAGAGAAGTTAACAATTGACATTGTATTTAATTTTTTGAAGATCAAAGGTGAGTGGAAAGCAAGAGGTTACACAAACGAAAAGTGCAAGAGAAGAAACTATTAGCATAGAACTTACGGTTACATCTAACCATTTCAACTGTAAAATAAGACCTTGTCGCCAATCTAGTGCTGCCCTTGAATTCGTTAATTCGAGGCACCAATGAGGAAAGCTCTTCAGAACAATTCTCATGAAAATATTTATTTTAAAAAAGGCACAGAGAAACTACATTACAGCCGTGGGCAAGTGACTGGAGCTGAGATGCCAGGTCAGGACTGATAACATTGCAGATTCTTCTCTGGATTTTATCAAGAATCTCTTAATGCATAGCTGAAGCACCAGACAGCAATATTGTGATAGCAATATTCAAAGCCTGAACGAACCATTATTTAATGCATTTGTGAACCATCATTCTATTCGGTCTGAACAACAGATTAAGTTTGCTTGGTGTGACAATGTTAAAAGTTTGAAAAAATTTCATGCTTACCATTTTTCTGGGTTTGTGTGTAATTTATCCAAATGTCTGTCGGAGCGCCATAGTAATCATGCGTTACGGGGTCTTGCATTTGCCAGTGTATCAGGAAGCTGGCGTTATCTTTAAAAAGTAAAAGAGTAAATGAGAATCGACAGGTGAGTGCTCAAAATTTGAGTACTTTTATTAATCGAAAAAATATATGGTATACTTCAGCTTGTTTCCCTCTTTTTATGTTCGAATGTTAGACTTTTATTAATATCATAAAGGAAAATGACTTGTAAATTTTTCTATATTTTTCTTTGTTTTTCTCTCTAACAATTCCATCAATCTGAAGCAAACAGAAAGACAGAAAGGAGGTATGACGAACACACAGACAGAAAATTAAATATTGTTGTGGTACAGCTGATAAAGCAATGATCGACTGTGTCTGTGTGTCCGATGAAATTAGGAAGGCAACTGCTGCTGGTAATATCGCAACTACAACATCTTCATATATATTATTTGCAGTCAGACTAATGTCATTAATTTTCTTGTTACCTCACTGGTTACCCCATACTTTCGGCAATGTGCCACATCTAAGCCATGCTTAGAAAATCATTATTCTCCAGCTCCACTGACAAATTGTACATATGGGAACTAGTTAGGACTATATAGAGACCTTGAGGTGTTACGGTAGCTGTAGAAAGAATAGTAATTAAGAATGTTATTTTGGTGTAAGGAATACTGTGGTATATTTGGACCAGTAATTATGGCTAGCTAAGTTTAAGATAACACATTGAAGACCAGCCTTCCCCTACCCCCACCTTTGGCCTTGTACCACATTTATCTATTTTTCAATATAAATATGACTTTCTTGTTACTATGACAAACTTTCGGTCATTATGCTCTGCTTCAGGCGTCTGTCAATTCGATTAACCTTCAGGGAATTTCTAATTGTTTTTATTATCATCGCTTGTTTCTTCATGGTTAGTGGATCTTATATGTTATTAACGCTAATGCTCGGACTGCTGATCGAGTTTTCTGAGCATCAGTAAAATCTCATAAGATTAATTTCTTCTACAGGGTGCGATGGATAAATTGTCGTCTAAATTACGCACAAAAAAAAATGTAAACATTACTGATATCTCCTTTTAACTGATATATTCACAAAAAATTACACAAAAATATCAAGAAAAGCTAAAGAGTAAATTTAATCAATAAAATCGCCATTAGCTTTACCCAGGGCCTCCTGATGACTTCGGAATCTCCTGAAACTTTTCTGGGTGGTGTCTTTGTTTAAATTGGTGAATGCTGCCATAATCCTTGCTTTCAGTTCATCTTTGGTGTTACAAGGAGTTTTATTGGTTTCTCGCTCAAGTGCGCCTCACACAGATGGGGAGGTTGCATTCTGGGACGTTAGATGGCCAGATGTAAGAGGTGATGTGGTCGCAGAAATTGACTGACAGCAATGACTGGGTTCCCTGCTTGTATGGCATGATGCAGAGTCCTGTTATCAAACATAAGGTCTTCCCGGAGGTACACTCTTGACACAAGGCACATGATGTACGCCTCCGTGCTGAGCCTGAGGCTCTGTGGGAAGATGAATGAAAGGATAAAGTCGCCATCACTAGTGATCAATTCAAACAACTTCGTAATCACCATTAGACTCATCAAACTCTTTCCGAATCCTCTGCATTGTCCTCAGATATTCGCCCAAACACTCTGAAATGTTCGTATTAGAGCTTCCGGTCTGAATTCCAAGGAGTGCAGCATGCCGTTTCTAACGGAGTGAATTGCGTCATGGTGCTCTTTTTATTACAAACAGTGCTCAATTGATCCTGCTATACTATCGTCTAAATCAAAATCAAAAACAAACAACGCGCATGCTCGAAATTAAGAATATAAAATGGTGACAATTTAGCCATCGGACCCTGTAGGTCTTTATAGTTTGAAAACATTTTTAACTATAGTTTACCCAAGACCCAAGGGCCACTCAACGTAGAGGGCTACTGAGTCTAGTTAAGGTGGAAGAAGGAAGTAAAGGAGTGTATATTATAAAGACATGTTAGATATTGCTTGGCTCTCGATTTAAATAGGCAAATATTGTAGCGATCAGAGAAGTATTCTATTGAAAATCTAACCCATAAGTTAATAGTTCTGGGGAAGAAACAACCTTATTCATTATCAAAGAACACAAAGGGAATGGGAATGATTTACCATCGTAAACATGGCATGGCGAATCCTAGCTGTGAAGGTCTGAACTGGTGGAACTAAGGAGCATAACTTGTTTGAACATCTGTCATAGTAATAACGATTGAGTGTTGAGAAGCTAGCAACATTGAGAATAATGCATCACCTGCCATGTATTTTTCTCAGACCTCATCTGTAGAGCTTACTAGGAGACCCTGCTTATTATTAAAGTGATTTAGTGAGAAGAGAAAAGTAAAAGACGACGAAATAAATATGGATTTTTTTAATTCTATAATGCATTTTAAGATATTATTTAGAGATATTGTAAGATATATATATATATATATATATATATATATATATATATATATATATATATATATATATATATATATATATCGGGTATAGTGCGAGATTTTACGCAAAAAATAAGAGGTTGCACTATACACAGCCATTTTTTAAGAGGTTAGAAATAATGCACTTTCGGTGACCGCTTACACAATACACAGGTAATTTTTTTTTCTAGAGGGGTTAAAATTTATGCAAAATAATTTAGGGGTGGCAGTGTCGTGTCCACTAAAATATTTAATAAAATATTTCATCACGATTTAGGTAGATACCGCCAAAATATTGTGCGGACGTAGTAGAAGACATACCCCACGTGACTTTTTAAGACCAATTAGGAAGAAATAAGTAATATAATTCTGGAGCCGATTTTCTTAAGAAGACGTGTATAAAACTCACGAAGCCCGGCCCCCAACATGAGACGCACACATCTCACCAAGGTCCAAGCAGTGGCGTAGCTAAGGGGGGGTGGGGGTGACACAATGTCACCCCCAACAAAATTTTTCAACCAGGCTAAGGTGCCAAAAATAGTCTGAAAACAGTGGTGGAGACACAGGGTTTCGCAGGCGGGCATATGAACCCCCAGAAATAATTTATGACCCCCCAGTTTTGTCTCCCCGTCAGAAATTTTCTAATAAATTGTCGGGAAATTTGTGAGTAGAAAAAATAGCAATGTTTTCAGCTTTCATGTGTTTCAGTTGCTACAATCTTGGTTACTAACAAGAGACATTGTTGTAACATTTTATCGGATGATATGGTGTTTTAACTCTGCATCATTAATAACAACAAAGCGAAATACGAAGCCAAAAGTGCAACAATTTCAGTCTTGCCTGTGTATCAATTCGCTGAGATACAATTTTCCATTGAGTGAGCGATATACTTTTGAATATATCTACTAGTGTTGGGACGATTAATCGGAATCGGAATCGAGAATCGGAAAAATCGGAACTTTTTGGGGTATCGAAACGGTATCGGAATCGAAAAAATTTGTGCCTATTTTCCGATTCCAAAAAACGATTCTTTTAAATTTTAACTTAATTTTCCATTATTGGTACTAATGATAAATATTTATTGTTTTTAAATTATCACCAAAACTAAAATCATAATATCATCAAAATAGGATGTAAATTTATTTTACTTGTATAAAGAAAAACAAAAAAATAAACTTTGCATAAATTCTCTAGGTAACCTTTAAAAGAATGCAGTTGATTTACAATGTTCCGAAAAATGCTTAAAAATTAAATAGAACATTTTTGTCAAGAAAAATACTTTCAAGCATCATTGATAATTAAAATGGTACCCAGAAAATGATGCAAGGGAAAATTGGGCACCGGAAAATTAGCAACAGAAAATTACGTCAACCATGAGCCAGTCGAGACTGTCAGATCTGGCTGTGCTGTCCATTGAAAACGAGCTTACAAGACAAACAGATTTTGACGATGTCATTGATCAGTTTGCCACAATGAAAACAAGAAAACATTCATTCTAAGACCATAGTATCGAATGTCATTCTTTTTTGTATTGCCGTGTTTTATATTTAGTTGTTCTGAAAGTGAACAGTTGCATTTTAAAAATCTTTTGATTTGAACTGATTATTTTGTGGTATTGGATTTTGTCTTGGATCATACATGTAAACAGTAACGTACCGGTCAGTAGAGTAAAGTAGAGGTAGAGCATGTATGAAAATTTAGCTACAGCTAACCATTCAGCATAGGATGAATCGGGGTCATTGGGCTGACATTTGAACGGACCGCCCCGAGTGACGTTTACTCTAGCTACGCCACTGGGTCCAAGTCACTCTAGCTGCTCATCTTCAAGACCTCATTCACATCCACACGCAAAATCAACAGCGCTGAGAATCTACAAAAACTCAGACTACAGCACCACAGTTCACAGTAAGAACTAAATTCTATCTCTTGTATTTCCCGTTACTACTAAACATGCATACATATATTGACTCATTCACACAAACACACATATAACAACTGTTCTCACATATGTACGCAATACAGTTTATATTTTTATCCGAGAACACTTTTAACAACCAAACAAAAAAGACATTACTCATTCAATACATTCAACTAACTTCTTGTATTCATGTCGTTAAATTAATGTTTATTTGTTGATACTATGTTGTCTTTTTCTACTGGATTTTATTCTTTCAGTGAAAATCGTGGGATTATTCTAAACGGCCGAATTACGAGCAGTCCCGAAACAATATTTTATATTGTATCAAATCCCGACATTCCGAATTTTGACATTTAACAAAAACCCGAGTAGAAGGATTCCTACAGCAGTATAGATGAAGTCGACTTATACACAAAAAAGAAAACGTTTTAAAAAGTTTAAGTAAACTCGTTTTTTAATTATTTCCTTGCCACTCCAATTTACTGACAAACCCACCCATTTATTAGATCTTTTTTTCCACCTACCTCGTTTACTAAGAATCCCTAGTTTATTAAATTTTCAATAAACATGTCCGTGGTGTTAAAATGGATGGTTTTACGATGACACATCGTTTTTATAAACTACCGTCACTCTTCAGCAATGTTCATAGTTTTAAAAAGCGATTATTAGAATTGTAATAAAACCTAAAGATATAAAAGTGAATTTATACATTTTCTTTGTTCTTGAGAATTGACAACAAAAGCAATAAATCTGTTTATTTATTGGCTTCTTTATTCACACTATTTATTTATTATATCGTTTACTGCAATGGTTGGCAAAACCTCGGCTAAATGGCGTCAATTCAAACTTTATAAAATGGTAAATAATAAGGATTTCTTTATCGTTGCTTCACGTATTTTAATAATTTAATAAATGTTTATAAATTTATGAATAAAAAATGTTTTCACATTATTTTTTTATAAATTGGAAATGATAAATATTGCATTGCATTAGTTCTAAATTGTATTAGTTCTTAATTTTTAGAATGTTGTAAATGCAAAATTATTCTTAAATCAATTCTGTGGACAAGATAAATTGGTATAAAATGACAAATGGAAAAAAATCTTATTTTTTTGCAGACGCGTTTCGTCTTCCGACTTTTTCAAGGCAAAAATGAAATCGGAATGTTTTTGTTGTTATAGTTACATTACAAAATCTAAATTTAAAAAAGAGTGGCGTTTCTGCGTAAGCCTCTTTCTGGTTAATGTAAATTTCCTTTATAATAAGAGATTTTTTTTTCTTTCTATGTCAACAATATACAGTGTAACCCGGATATAAGAGACCCTGATATAAGAGAAACCCGGATATAAGAGAGATTTTCTCTGGTCCCAAATTAGAGCCCATACTTACCTAAACAAAATAGACCAAACCCAGATATAAAAGAAACCCGGATATAAGAGACTTCTTCTCCGGTCCCGACAACTCTCTTATATCCGGGTTACACTGTAGTTAATTTGTCATCTTATACCAAAATCATTTTTGTAAATAAACAATCTCCTAAATAAATAGTGTTTAATATCTTTATTGTAAATTCTCAGGAACAAAAAAAAAAGTTATAAACTTTTATCATATGTTGAGATGTTATTCCAATTCTAATCATCGCTTTTTAAAACAATAATAAACATTGCTGAGACTAAGAGTGAACTGAAAGTAGATAAAAGACCGGTGTCATGGGAAAACAGTCCCCTTTCACACTAAGTCTTATCACGGGTACGTTAATCAAAGTTTGCCAGATTTTCTGATTTTTTACCTCGCCATTTTATCACAACCGCCACAAAGTGTTAGTTGTCATTAAACCCGTGTTATTATTTTCCGCTTTTTTTAAAGAAATCTTTACCAAGGGAGATAACTCTTGTTAATTTAAACATGAGTTATGTCTTTCTCTTATATATATATTTTTTTTCTTTTTCAATGTGCCGTCTCCCTTCGGGAAGTGGGTGATCAGGGCTCTCCACTACTTCCTATCCCCTGTAGCTCTGAGTAACGTTTGTATTTTTTTCATTCCTCCCACCGCTCGTTCCATCGTCTATTCACACATACAGGTCAGAGAGTTGGTCCGCTGATTCTCTCTGTCCCTTTTACTTTCAATATGTCCTCTGAGTGTCAAATTCTCCAAACCTCTTTTCTCGTTGTTGTCTCCTAAACTTTTCAACTATCTCTTTTTTATTCTAAATATAAGCGTCCATTTTGTTTCTATCTTCCTTAAAACTTCATCGTTGCTTACATGTTCAGTCCATCATATTCTGTAGAAACACAATCCTGTTGCCTTAAGTCTTCTCTAATCTCAGAAGATATTGTCCGACATTTATTGCCATGTTAGAAGATTGATATTGCATAACATTTCAGTACTATTTGTTTGTACTGAAATTGTCCTGTTTGTTTCTTAGTATTTTGCTTGGCTTTTGAAAGGCATCATTCTCTAATCCAATGCGCGTTCGGACTTCGGTGTTGCCTTTTCCATCTTTTGTTAAAATACTTCCTGAATGTTTAAACTTAAACCTGTTTGATTTTGACATCGATTTCTTCTCATGATTTTTAATTATTTTACCTTAATTTCTATTATATAGGTTGTCCCAACATAATAGGACACATTTTAAATGCAAGTATCTTGGATTATAAAAATGGCATAGAATACCAAATGTATTGATTATATAACGGATATATTCAACATATTTCCTATTATTATATATATTATATTTTGCTATGTCTTGCGGCTACCTGATATTTCTTTTGCTGACGGTGGACCTTCATGATGTCGTGAGCTCCAAAAGAAATTGCATACGTAGTGGAAGCATACTTCACCAGCCAAAAATCCACCGTTGCGGCCCAAGAGAAATTCCGACAGCATTTTGGAAAGCGACAGATGATCTTGCGTACTGTTACAGACTTCCGTGAGACTAGCAATACCAACTGTGTTTAAAATGAGAGAGCGAGCTCTTGAATGATCTCTTCGTGGTGGTGACCATCTCAGGGATGTAATATTCAAATCTTAGATAATATGTATCTGTCTATATTTCTGAGATGAGGTATTATGTACCGACTATTGACCTCATCTTTGTCGCCATATTTATTACAACGTTTCGGCCGTTGTACGCTCCGGCCTTCTTCAGGTTGTTAGGAATGTCGAACTGAACACTTTATTTCGCTCACTGGGGTAGACTGTTCTAGTTCCACGTGACGTGTTTAATGGATGTCAGTTATCAGTTATCTCCTGTTAATTCCCCTCTCGAAGTTCTCCACTGCCTTAACCGGGTATTGAACTCACACTCTTTGGGTCCTGTCACTGGATCTAACTAACGCCTTTATCCACTGTGCCATGTGTCCTTGATAATATGTTTTAATCAAGTTTTTTTTTTTAATGCCATAACTTATTTTAGAAAGTTTTAAGGGAAATACGAACGAAAAAACACTTGAGTTTCAGATCATAAACAAGTAGTTGAAATTCCTGAGACACTCCAACGGAGCTTGGAGAATTTGTCATTCACAGGACATGCTAGGAGTGAGAGCTACAAAGGGAAACAGTGAGTAAAATACCTAATGAGATTGTGTAAATGGCTGTCGGAACATGGACTGGTAGGGACGGTAAAGAGACAAATATTGTTTTGAGCTACAAAGGATAGGAAATTGTGGAGAGCCATGATCAACCTACTTAACGAGCTTGTGTCAGTTGGTGACAGAACATGGACAAGAAGGGAGAGTAATGACATACATATTTTTCAGAGCTACAAAAGATAGGAAGTTGAGGAGACCCATTATCAACCTACTTAAGGAGCTTGTGCCAATTGATGGCAGAACAGAGACTGGGAGGGATGGTAAGGAGACAAATATTTTTTCAGAGCTACAAAGGATAGGAAATTGTGGAGAGCCATAATCAATCTACTTAACGAGCTTGTGTCAATTGATAACAGAACAGGAACTGGGAGGAACGCCAAGGAAACAAATATTGCTTAGATCTCGAAAGGAAGTTGTGGAGAGTCATGATCGTCCACGTCCTGAAGGTACATGATACAGAGACAAAGAAGAACGCATTTTTCTGCTTTTATAAACTCAAAGAGATCTGAAAAGAAGACAAATGTCTATATATACAAACCTGATTTTCGATAAAAACCAACAACTTTGCTGTCCCATACTTGACTGAGAGCTTCACTGTTTTTAGTCATGTTGGGTTTACCAATGCCAAGAAAAAAGGCGTTTGAATATGGATAGATTTCATTGAATGCATCGAAGTCTGATTGGTTTAGGGTTTGATAAATGAATCGACCAAAAAGCCCATCTTCAGAAATAACGCTAACCTGCCAAAAGGTAAAAAATAATGAATTCAATAAAATTAATTCGCTCAGGGATATATTATAATCATGCTTTTTCCTTTGTTCTTTGGTTAGCAAATTAATTTTTTTCTATCAGCATGGTTGACACTAACTTTCAGAAGAGGAACTCTGTACTTTTTCGGTCTAAAATTTTCCACTGACATGAAATGGAATGATTATATTGAAATTATATAGTTGCTAGGAAAGTTGGTTCACTGTGTCGTTCTAGACAATCTTTCGCGCCAGAATCTATCTTACATATCCATAAGTCTACCATTCGTTTGTGTTGCTGCTATGTACCTAGAAATTATTGACAAAATCCAAATAAGAGTCTGTATAAACTGTCTGTATTTCTGAGATGAGGTACTGTAACGATTTATACTATTTGCATTGTTTAGACTGCTATCCTCATCTTTATAGTCATATTCCTGACGTTTCGGTCGTTGTACGCTCCAGCCTTCTTCAGGTGATATACGTTTGAATTTCAAACCGAACCCTTTATTTAGTCCATGGAGTAGATTGTTCTAGTTCCACGTGTCGTTCTTTATCTGAATATCTTCGTTAATTGCCTTTAGTAACTCAACTCCAGGTATTTTTTGTCCACCTCCTATGTGGCCAGGTATTGAACTCACAATTCTCTCGGTCAAGTCACTTTCTGATCAAAGCCTCCTTGCTGCCTGATGTAGTTTATCATCATACCCAGGACGCAACTACTATTTATCAAAGCACCTTGATAATTTTTAAGCCAAAAGACATTACGTTGCAATGAAGATGCAGAAACTGCATTCAATGATTTCCTGACGTCGAAACTTTAAGACGTTTTATGCAAAGGCATTATTACAATTGTAACTCGGTGGCAAAAATGTATAGTCGTTCAGGGTCCCTATTTTGACTGATTTAATCACTGTTTAAATACATTAATTTAGGAATAAACGTAGATTCTGAAATCGGAAATTATTTTCCGAACAACCTAATACAAATTCTGAAGAGTTTGCAAGAATATTATTTTTTTAATCAAGGAATCACCTACATTCTCATGTGGAATAATCAGTCGATTGATATATCCATTTTTGTCGAATCCAATCTCATATCCTTTAGCCAGTTGAAATTGACCTGGGAGTGTATCTTGTTTGTAGCCTAAAAAGAATAAAAATTCAATGTCAAAATTAAAACACTTAATATAGAATTTATGTATAATAAAATTATAATACAAATTATGTACGAACTAATACAAATTATATCAAATTATATAAAAAATTTATACGAAATTATATGCAAATTACATACAAATTATATACGAATTGAAACAGTTTTTTTAATTATATTTTTCTCCACAGTGAAAAGTTAATAATACCAAGGCGTGCTGAAAAGTTCTCGGCACAACCAACATCTCAAAATCTTATCAAATGAATGACAACAATATATATAGAATGGCCAAGATGGATATTTATTTGCCTGGGGTCGCATTTCAATCCCTGGGTCAGGCAATGAAAGTTACTTACTCTGAAAAAAGAAAATGCAACACCACAAATATGGTTGGTTGATTTTGTTTAGTAGCATATCAACACCTCTATGGGTTATTTAATGCAGAAATTTAAATATTTTGAACACAATTTTATGACTTCAACTAAATATATTTTGAACATAATTGTATTCCTTCAACTACAGAAAATGTATTTTTGATGATGCTTTTTATATATAAATGTATTGCTGGTATTTTTTATTAGAAAAATGTATTTTTATAGTTTCATGGTGTTTTGTTTTGGGGGGTTCACTATTTTCCCATACCTAGGACCCTAACTGGTGCTACCACCCCAGGTCAGGGTGGAGCTGAGAACATCAGCAATTAAAAGGTGATACTACGCTCCTCAAAACCCCCAATCTCTCGATCAGATATCTTGCTGCTGGGTGTAGTTTATCGTCATACCCAGGACTAACTACAATGATGAATTAATAAATAATAAATTACTGATGCGCGTTATCTCTCCTAGAAAGAACAATCTTCCTCCTTCTCCTCCTCTTCTTCTTCTTTTGTGCCGTGCCCCTTGAAGGTGTAGGCGATCATGGCTCTTCACTGTTTCCTCTCCTCTGTAGCTCTTGGTAATATTTGTCTTTTTCCCATCACTCCCACTCTCCGTTTATGTCATTCATTCACACAATCTTGTTAAATAGGTTAATTGTTGTTCCCTTCTGTCGCCCTTGTCTTCAAAATGCCCTGTGAGTGTCAGATTCTCCAAGCCTTCTTTCTTTATTATGTGTCCTAAAAATTTCAACTGTCTCTTTCTGTTTCTACGTATAAACGTTCTTTTTGTTTCTATTTTCCTTAAAGTGCCGTCGTTACTCCCATGTTCACTACATGGTATTCTCAGTATCCTTCTGTATTTTTGTTGCCACTAGTCTCTACTTCATCAGTGAGGAGAGTGTCCAGAATTTAATGCCGTATCGGAGGATCGATATTACATAACAATTCCGCTCTCTTGTCTTAGTTTCTAACGAAACTGTTTCTTGATACTTTGCTTACTTCTTGGAAGGCATCTTTTGATATTCTGATGCGCCTTCAGATTTCAATGCCACATTTTCCATCCTCATTTACTTCCCAGATATTTAAATTTTTGTTCTTGGTTGATTTTGAGCATAACTTCGAGCATAGATTGAATCAAGGGGTTGGTTCAAAATTCCTAGATTGTTGAATACAATAGACATCTGAAGGAGACCAAAAGTCAAAACGGTCGAAATGTTGTGACGATAACAATGTGTGCATATTATTATTATTATTAGTAGTAGTAGTAGTAGTGTTGTTGCCACGTAAGTGACTAGCATGCCAATTAACTCACGAAACCCAAAATATCCCTCATTAAACCCAGCTAACAGATCCACGTGCATCAGTGCCAAATGTGCCTGTTATAATGAAAGGTTATGATAAATGCGGTGCATAACCTTGCCTGTGGGGCCCAATTAGAAATAATTTCGGTTCCGGGTAACCCAGTCCGCTCAAGAGTGTTCCCAATAACTACCCAAGTCGCTTTTGGTGCCTCTTTCTTCAATCTTTAAAAAACCTCTAAAGCTATGGTGTTTCGCCACTACGCCGGCTCATGAACTGTCAGCTTCCCGACAGCGTGCGCTATTGGCTAAGGTCAGAACATTGACAAGATAATCTGTGGTACATTATTATTATTATTATTATTATTATTATTATTATGATTATTATTATCTGGAAAAGTCTGAAAATTCATATACGTCAACCATACTATAGAAACTTTAATATCGTCATAATAGACTTCAAAGAATACATTTGTTATATTTTAAGACATAATCATGTCGACTGATAAAAATATTTCAACGAAAGAATTTGATAGTCCCTCTGACTATAAGAATCTGGGAGTAAAAGTGACCAGAACGCGGTATTTAAACACAACCATTATTCCAGTAGTAATAAGAGCACCATGGATGATTAAGCATAAAACTGATACACACTTTAACAAAATTCTAAGAAATCAACCTTAATCTGAGATACAAATGATAGTTTTAACGAGTTGTGGTGACATAGAACAATTCTTCCGATAACTTCATAAAAAAGCATCCATTCCCACCATAACGTCTGCCCATCAATGAAACTTTCATTGGACCATAGGAATGGAATTTGAGGCTGTATAACCAGGTGGTGATGAAGAAGCGAAAACTCCTATAAGGAATGGACTACATCAGCTGCTAGCTGAGTTTTACGAAACTGATATATATGTCCTCTTTCGTAATTGGAACACTACCACTGAAAGAGGCGGTGACTTTGTTGAGAAGTAGGAAAGTGAATCTGTGATGGATATCTGTATTTTGATGTACAATATTTTTAAAGGTGCCCTTATTTCTTTTATAATAAAACATATTGCATTACTTTTTGACTTACACTCATATATGTCATCAGTAGAGTGAATTATTTTCCTTTAATAACTGCTGCCTGTGATATCACGGCTTACATAAACATCTGTTAGCGTATATGATGGCGTATAATAATCCCCTATTTATATTTGATAATAAAGAATAATGGTGCAAGACGACGTCCAAGGATATCTCGGTAAACATTAACGTACGCACCCTCAGACATCCATTTCGTTGGTACAATGAAAGAGGTACTGAGGGGCAAACGTTATGGTGGGCGATGAAGAAGTAAAAATTGTCGTGAGGAATTGGCTCCATCAGCTGGGATACAAGTCCTCATTCGTAGGTGGAACACTGCCATTGAAAGAGATAGTGATAATGTTGCGAAGTAGGGAAGTGAACCTATGATGTATAGTTGTATCTTGATGTATGTTATGTTTGATTCTGCTCCTTATTTTTTTTATAAAATAGATTTCATTACTTTTTGACTCACACTCGTATTTCCAGTCTTTGAATTATCATTTTGTATCAAACTATTTTTTAATAATATAAAAACTCGAAATTACTAAATTTTTAAATCCTTCCGTGACTTCTGGGACACACTGTAGTTTCATCATTTGCTGTAGTCCCTTTCTCTGTTTCGATTTTCCCTAGATAATCAGATCGACTTGGATATATCAACTGCTGATGTGTGTTTTTTTGGTTTTTTGTTTTTGTTTTTTTTTTTTGTTTTGTTTTGTTTTGTTTGTTTGTTTTTTGGTTTTTTTGTTTGTTTTTTTTTAATTAAATGATGCGTTTTCTAAGGCTTGTCAACCTTTTCAGATTATTTAAAGTCAGAAAATATTTTTAGATTGTAAGAATTTAGGTGGGGGAGATAAAAATGGTTTAGTAATAAAACTCTTACTAATTATCCCATAGCAGGGGGAAGAAGTGGTAAATTCATCCCTTTCCCAATGGTATTTACGCGTAAGTGAATATAACGAACACAACGGGAGTTTAAACTCGGTTTTCCGATTAACAATTCCGAGCCATTATGCATTGCACCACCCACACGTTCAAGCTTGCAGCACCTGCTATTCCCAAGCGGTCAACTAAGTACTGATCAGCTGCTTAACTTCCGTGGTCACACGGGAACCCGTGTTTCAGCGTGATGTGGCCGTAAGCCACTGATGTGTCTACTCCCCATCAAAATCTTGGTTTCCCTGATGGCAAAATTTAAAATAAATCCTGACAGAATAGCCTTTTTTATCTCTATTGCACCAGTTCAAATAAATATTTGTTTTTATTAAGTTTTTCATTAATTTTTGCATCATTTTCTGACTTGGAACACGCGAAAAAAAAAACTTAGTACCCACTAAACACAGATGTAGGATATACAAGTAGCGAAACGGTTAGCGGCGCAGAAAGTGGAATCAATGATTTGAGTTCAATTTCTAGCCTAATCTGTTGCGTTGACTGTCGCTCAAATGCCCCTGTGAAAGGCAAAAATCCATCTATAGATTAAATAGAAAGGCACACTGGGCTTTCGAAGCTTCGGTGGCAATCATGGAAGACGACTCTGATTTCAAAACTGTAGAGAATGTAACGGGAAACCACTCTATTATTCCTTGTAAGAGGTCATGACAATTCATGGACAACAAGAAAATGAAGGTGGAGAGGAAGATGATATTTAATTTAAAAAAATATGTTTTAAATAACAAGGTAGATTGACCTCGCGAGTCTTGGGAAACCGCTAATCTGAGCTAAGGAAAACTCAATTCAATTCAAAACCATGACGATAACGAGAAATCATTCCACAATATTTCACAAGAAGACATGGTAATTCACAGATAATAAAATAAAAGGAATCTGTGGAGAACCATGATTGCTTACGTCCTGAAGGAACATGACATTTTAAAAAAAAAAACACGGATATGCAAAATAACTGCTTAAGAATCCATCTTGCACATTTATAAATCTGCCATTCGTCGTTGCATTGAATATTGCTGCCATACGGTTCTGGTGCTCCTGCTATACATCTCGAGATTCTTGCCAAAATCCAAAAAAGGTTCTGTAATATAAATTATTCCGACCTGACATCTCGACTTTAATCACTTTACAACCGCCGTAGCTCCCTCTGTCTTTTCCATATCTTTTTTCATGGTAATTTTTCTGATGTGCTTTGCTCCTTCGTGCCTCGACTGCATGAATTTAAGATTGGCAACTTGAACTCAACGTTTTACTGTAGAATTAATAAGATATAACCATAAATTCTATTCTAATTTAATAGTTTCTTTTCTCGCAATTCTCGCCTGTGAAACTTTTATCCGATTTCTTTCCTGTTTATTACGATTGTAAAAAATTTAAATGCAAAGCCAATCGCCATCTTCTGTCTTTCTGAAAAATGTTCTTTTATTGTCTTTTCTCGTTACTAATGTATTCTCATTCTTTTTCAACCCCCAATAGCTAGTTGCGTCTTAGTAGCATTATCGCCTTGCTTGTGGTGAAATGAGTCAAAAAAAAGATAATCAAACGTGTTATTCCCTACCTGATGTATCTGGCCATTGTGTCTTCAGGCCATTCCATTTGTCCTTTATTTCTGAAGCCAGCGGATGATTGGCCAAGGCTGACAGAGAGAGTTCAATAAACTTCCGTTGTTCCTGCCATGATATTTCACAGTTCTGAAAGTTTTGTTCTGTAAAATAAAAGACAAAACCGTTAAAGAGCTAAAAAAAAAAAAAAATAAATTCTTATAGCGATCAAATGTATGTTACTTCTTCGGAAGTAATAAAAGAAAAATGACCGAGTATATGCCTGCCTGCTAAGGTGGCTAGCCAATCCCAGTTGCAGACGCCGGCTCAGTCACATTTGTGTTTGTTCAACACCCACATAGGCCACATGTGGTTTATACTGCAACAATGCTGAGCGGACCTTAGTTACAGTTTCTTGACGAGAGCGCATCACATGGTGCGATGAACTGTTTGAACAAGGCTAGTACGCTCAAAGCCTCGGTCATGCTGACTTGTGGCTTCGTGGTAGCACAACCATAAACAAACAGGTCCATCTATCCAGATTCCCTCACAAGGCTCGAGAAAAACCGTGGCTTTGTTTCTCCGTCGTACGCTGGGATCGCCTCTCCAGGATGATAGCATGAAGAAGTCACACCTTCCAGAAAAATCGATTATGGTTAGCTTCGAACATAAGCAATAGTACGTAATAATTTTGTTGTAAATTCTCAAGATCAAAAAAAATGTCAAATTCACTTTCATTATAGGTTTAGATTTTATTAAAATTCTAATCATCACTTTTTAAAATAATAAACATTGCCGTGGGGGGGGGAAGACTAGTTAAAATAATAGCGGTGTTAATGGAAAAACTGTCCTTTTGAGGTTTTTTTGCAGAGGGATGTACCTAGGTTCAGGTTTGTGTAAAAAATCTATCCATAATTAAACTCTAAACATAATATTTGCTTCCATATAAAATGATAAACTGAAGCGTCTCCCCAAAATTAGGGACTGCAATATATTGAACACTTTCGAAACTACCCTCGCCAATTTGTAGAAATTAAATCAACCAGATAACGTAAAAATATAGAGGTAGTGTAGCTATGGCAAAGTAACTGTGGCAGAAATTAAAAGTGACTACGGATAGACTGTTGAAGTCAGAAACAGGAAGCACTCTGTCTCAGAAGGGACAACATCTCTAGTTTTTGTTTTTCTCAGACAACGGTAACAAGGGTAGCCAACGAACATGTGGATTTTGGAGAATAATCAGGAGAACGTGCAGACTGCGGATTTCCACATTTGAAACAAGGACGAGACCGTCAGTGACCGTCAGAAAAAATGCGTTAAATCGCATCCCAGTTGAACGCGGTGCTGCTAAACCCGTCAGTCAACACACTATGCAATGCGAATTAGAAATGAAATCAACCAGATGACACAATAAATATAGAGGTAGTGTAGCTGTGGTAGCATGGATATGACAGAAAGAGTAAGCGAAAGAGGTACACTGCATCAAATCGCATCCGAAATGAACGCGGTGCTGCTAAACCCATTTGTCAACACACTATGCAATGCCAACTGAATTCCACGGGGTTTCGTAGTCATCGATTAAACAAAAGTACTATTATTGACACCAATTCCACTGAGCAATGGAAGACAGACGCCATGTCACTTCTTCAGACCAGAAACTACCACAGTTACACTTTTATACTATTCTGCCTTAGCTTCACTGCTTCTATTACGTTCCACATAGGTTGGGTTAATTTGTACAAGTGAAATTCTTATTTGGTGGTTATGGATCCAGCCTGTCAACAGTGTTTTGCAAGCTGATGATGGGTCTTTAATTGTATGAGGTGTGTGCTTTGGATTCGTAAAGACAACTTGTGAGACTGGGGACTGACAGGCATAACACGCACATTTTATTTAGAATTTTATACTCGCCATGTTTGACGGTGGGGATTGCTTGTACAATCCAGAAAACGCAACCTAACTCTCGAAACTGAAACCAAGAAAACTTGACTGATTTCCAAGTACTCCATTGACGCGCTAGCTCACCAGATTTAATCCCCATTGAGCATGTATGGAACATTTTGCAGGCCTCGCTAAATTCCCTACAGTCACATTAACCAGCATAGCTTAGTTATGAAGAACCCTGGAACATGCCTGGACAGAAAGACCCACGTAATGACTCGAGCACACCGTAGACTTCATAGCACGTCGCATAACCACCGTTATTCAAGTAAAGGTTTAATCCAACTCTGTACATGACGGTTGATTAGATATAACTGATTAAAAAGGAAACAGCGAATTAAAATTACATTTTAGTTACATTATCCAAATTATAATGTTGCTAAAATGGCATAACCCAAGCTAGGAATTAATTATCAGGAAAGACACGACTCTCTAGACTTTGATGGCAAGCAGTCTAAAACAAAGAAAACTCTGAATTCTAAACCATACACAAAGCAACGGGAAACCAATATACCGTTCTTCAGTGAAATCGAAGCAATTCACAGATCATATAAAGAAAGGAAGTCTATGGAGAGACATGATCACCTACATGATGAAAGGATATATCAGGTCATCCCATAAGTTCTGTCCGAATTTTGAATAAAGAAAACAAGTGACCAAATGTTACATTTAATTACAGATTCAATCAACAATGTATTTTCCCTGATTATCTATGACTTCCTTCCATCTATTAACAAACACTAATTCCATTACTGTAAAATTCTTTTGGCTTTGATTCGAAGAACTCACAAATGTCAGTTTTAACCTCTTCCTGTGTTACAAAAGCTGTTTCTTCCAAATGATTCTGTAAGCTACGAAACAAATGGTAGCCTGAAGGAGCAAGATCAGGGAGAATAAGGTGGATGAGGAATTTTCTCCCAACCAAGTTCTTCGATCTTTTGTGACGTGATTTTTTTGCTGTGTGGGTCGCGCATTGTCCTGATGAAACATCACCCTTTTCGATTCACTAGAGCAGGTCTTTTTTCCTCAAAGCTTGGTTTAAACGCTCTAATTGCTGACAGTATATTTGAGCATTAATTGTTGCATTAGGTGGTAAGAATTCAAAATGGATTATTCCTTGGCGATCCCACCAGATTGAAAGAAGAACCTTTTGCCCTTGAACTTCCCTTCTCGGCTGTGGCTGGGGTCTTTTCCCTTTACCAAGCCACTGTCTACGACGCATAACATTTCGATAAAAGATCCATTTTTCGTCGCCAGTCACAAGTCTATTCAAAAAAGGTGAATGGAGAGAAGAGCAAATGTCAACTCGGGATTTGAGGTTGTTTTCAGACAATTCATGAGGCACCCATTTTCCAAGTTTAGGAACTTTTCCAAGTTGTTGAAGATGACGATGAACAGTTGTATGGTTTGAACTGAGAACCACTGCCAATTCCTCAACTGATAAAGCAGGATTTTCTTCAAGGGCTGCTTCAAGAAGCTTTTCATCAAACTCAACTGGACGTCCGGTTCAATCTTCATCTTCAAGGGTGAAATCTCCACCTCTGAATTTTGCAAACCATCTTCTGCAAGTTCTTTCATTCACACATGCCTCTCCATAAACTGAGTGAATGTTTCTAGCCGCTTCGGCAGCTGAGTTTCCTTTCTTGAACTCATAAAGCATTTAAGTGCGTCAAATGATTCTTGGGTACTTCCATGTTAGCAGGGTTTTAATCAAACAAAATTTAATTTTATTGTTCACTGAAATAAAATTTGATCAGTTTAAATGCATCTAAACATAATGTTCAGCTCCATTAGACATTATAAAATACTCTTTAAATTGCGTTCATTTTAACAAAAAGTTAAAATTCGGACAGAACTTATGGGATAACCTGATAGTATTTAATTAAATAGAGATTAGTTAAGTAAGATGACAGAGTAAGCTTTCTAGACTTGGGTTGAAGAGAAGTTCAATCTGAGTATAAGTGGCAACCAGTTTAAGAGAAGAAAAATTCTGATTTCCAAATCGTGGAGAAAGCAACAGGAAACTATTCCATTATTTTTCACAAGAAGGCATGCCAATTCACTAATTACAAAGAAAACGAATCTGTGGGAAAATCAACGAGAAATATTCCACTGTCTTTCCCAGGAACTCATGTCAATTCACGGATTATAATGAAAAGGAATCTGAGGAGAAGGCAAGAAGAAATCATTATATTTCCCAAGAAGTTATGTCAATTCACAGATAATATAGAAAAGGAATCTATGGAGAAAATCAACGGAAAACTACTCCACTATCTTTCCCAAGAAGCCATGTCAATTCAAAGATAATGAAGAAAAGGAATCTGTGGAGAAGGCAACAGAAAACTACTCCACTATCTTTCTCAATAAATCATGTCAATTCACATATTAAAAAAAGTAAACTGGGAGAAGGCAACAGAAATCTAGTCCACTATCTTTCCAAAGAAGTCATACCAATTCACAGATAATAAAGAAAAGAAATCTATAGAAAAGGCAACGGGACACCACTCCATTATCTTTCCAAAGAAGTCATTCCAATTCACAGATAATAAAGTGGATAATCTGTGAAGATCCATAATCGCCTAACGTTTTAAAGGGACATGGCATTAAAAATAATATTTTTAAAAAATGGCTCATATGTAAGCTACTTAAACAATAATTATCTCTCAATTTCTCATGACTTACTGTGTCTAACTGTTGAGAAATCTTTATTATTCCAATGTCTGCTGTCTTTTGCTCTACTGATACCCCATGTATGTTCAGTTGTTTTCAGCAAGAAAAGCCCACTTTGATAAATACGTGAGTCGCTCAAGGAACATTCTGTTCAAAAGAAAAAATATTACTGTTTTATTACTGGAAGATATTTAGATATTATTGTAATAAAAACATATAGCAAGTACAGTCTTTTTTTTTTTTTTGGTCAAATTTTTGTTCATAGAAGGAAGGACGTGTCAGAAGAGTGGCGATTATTTAACTTATCTCACTAAATTACTATGAGAAAGTTCGGAGATTTAGTGAATCCGAAAAGAAACAAAATCACGAGAGGTTGGCTTTCAACCAATCGCTTGGTCCGCCATGGGACAAGACTTCATGTTAGAGGTCATCGGCTATGGTTTAACTTGAAGAGGGATGGGATCCGCCAAGTTTACTTGCATAAGAAATGCTACGCATGAATGTAACAGGAAATGAAAGTTGCTATTTTCTTAACTGTTTAATTGGACTGTTCATCTCATCTCTTAAACCTGCGTGCTCTTAAACTACTAAGAATGTGGCTCCCATTGTGAACGGTGGTGACTGTACACATCACCTCTAGAGATATTTTAATAGCTCTAGTTTCAAGGACGATCACTCAACTTGACATGAGCTCGGATTATTTGGGGCAAAATCTTAAAATAAACACAAGAGAAAGTTTTGGTTTTATTTATAAATTGCCGTTTTGCGTACAACCAAATACCTAATACTAATTTATTTGATTTGAAATTATGAAGAGTCCGAAAAGTTCCGAATTATTCAGTGGCTCATTCAAACTTCCAGTTAAGAGATTATTTAATTTGTGTCAATTCTTAACTTCTCAACCTGTGACGGTACTTTGTTGAGCATAGGACTTACCCAGATTCACGGAGAAGAAAAGGATATGATTACTTTACACCACTGACCCCGTGTGTATTGGCTGGAGTGGACGTGACACGCTTGGGTGATCATGTCATCTTATCGATTAATGATCGCTGAAGGGAATCTGCGCGTAAATGAATGTAACGAACCCGAATAGAATTCTAAGTCGGCTCTATGATTTCACAGTCCGAGCCGTTGCTTACGGCCACATGACGTTGAAACACCGGTCCCCGTACGATCACCGAAGTTAGGCAACATCGAGCTTGGTCAGTGCCTCGAAGGGTGACCGCTTGGAAATACCAGGTGCTGTGGGCGTGGATGTGCGGGCGGTATAATGGATAACGGCTCGGAATGAGAAATCGGAGAGTCCAGTTCCAATTCTAGTCGGGTTCGTTATATCCACTTACGCGCAAATATGTTTGGAAAAGTTATGAATTCAACTCTCTTCCCCCCAGTTATAGGTTAAATAGTAGGACTTGTATCAGTAAATCATTATTATCTCCGAAAAATTCTTACAATCCAAAAATATTTTCTAGGTTTTAAATAACTTACAAAAGGTTGATAAGCCGTAAAACACAAATCAGTCTATCCTCTTAACGACTTCAATTATTTCGAATTATTGCTCTATTTATTTTGTTCATGTCATGAATAAGTAAGGAGTCTTGCTAGACATCTAACATAATTAAAAACAAAACCTGTCAAAGAGTGAATGAACATTCTTGGAGAGTCACCAGTCATCAAGCACAATGGTGTAGGCTGAGTGCTGTAGCCATGTATGCGACCAAAGCACGGCATCGCAGGGCAGATGGCGTCCTAGACTGAAGTCACCGGCCAGAATGAAGAGTTCCTCTCGACGTAATTAATAGCCATATGTCCATGACCAAGGCAAGCTTTCAAAATGGAGGACATCGGCCGTGGTTTGACTTGAAGAAGGATGGGCTCCGCCAGGTCTGTTTATCCAAAACACGCTACGCTTGAATGCATACCTCTCCGGATTTCAACCCTGATAAGTGGAGTAAGTGGTCAGGCGTGCAATGGCGCAGCGACCCTACAAACATACACGGTCATAGGATTGATGATGATGATGATGATGAAGTTTAAGTGATAATCAATATGAACACATTGAAATAAAGTATAATTACTCATATAAAGTATAATTACTCATATAAAAAATGAAACAGAAAGGAATAGTAATTTGTAGGGATTCTTGAACGCCTACGCCATGAAACGGCCACGGTACATGAAATAAATGAAGACACCCCCACCTCAAACTCACTCAGAAAATTTGATGTTACCATTATTTCTGAGACACTCTGACCAAAGCTTCATGAAAGTGCGCATCCTGGCTACTTTCCATGGATCCGAGGCAATGCCCTCTATCCAAGTGTCCCCGATCTCCTGCGTCACCTTGGGAAGACGAGATTTGATTGGAATGACGTCGGACACAAAATTATCAAATGTTGATCCACGCACGAAAGACTGCGGAAACTGAGAGCGGACAACCTCGTAGTAATTTAGTATTTCCTGCAAAATATGAAATAAAAGACAAGTTTATTTTATGCACAGACAGAAATCACCATCTTTGCGCTTGAAGTACTAAATTAAAAAAAAAAAGAACGTTAATCTACGTATGACAAAGAAAATTCAAAAGCGCATAGGAATAGCGAAAAATGACTTTTAGAAACTAAGCAAACTATTAAGAAAAATAGGAGACTCGAAAAACAGAGTGCTGAACTACTATGTAATATTTAATCTCGTCTATGGTAGTAAATGTTGGACAATATTTTCAAAGATGAAGATGAGATAGAGATCAGATTTTACCAACAGGACGTTTTAAGAAAAATAAGAAAGACAAACTAAGAGAAACAAGGTAGTAAAGAAAGCAAGAAGAAAGGACTAACTATTAACTGTCAGAAGACAGAAAGTATGGTTGCCAGCAAAAGAGATAACCCAAAGGCGACACCTACATATTGGAGACGTCAAAATCAAGCAAGTGCAGAAATTTCAGTATCTGGTTAGTGTGGTAACAGACAACGGAATGTTTAATACAGGAATTCGAAGACGCATCAAGAATAGCGAAAGAAGTCTTCAAGAAACGACGCAAAGTATTTAAAGACAGGAAAGTGTTGGTCGAAACAAGGGAAACATTGCTGAAATGTTAAGTAATATCTAATCTATATAGCAGTGAATATTGGCCAAACCCCAACCATTGTTCGTGAGAGAGAGAAACCAGGATGTTTGTGCAGAATAATACATCTTGAAAAGGAACAGGTGGACGCCAAATGCGACTACTTGAAGATGAAAGTACCCTACCATCCTAATAAATTCGTTAGAATCGAATGCATGTGTTTAGTTTGGATTTTGGTATATCAGGTGATTCGACGTTGAGACTAAATCGTAATAGTGTATACTGACTGGTTGAAAAATAATCATATTCTTCACAAAGTTCTGATTGATCAGAAGGAGTCTAAATATTTACACACCTTCCCATTCAAATAAGATATGGTACAAGACAACTTTCTTGGCAGATCCGCTTGGAATTCTCGGGTATAAGTCTTAGTGCTCCAAGAAAAAAAATAAATGAAAAAATAAGGAAAAGGCATTTTTTCATTGAACGGACATTAGAAAGAAAAAAAAAGGACAAGCATGGAAAAGAAAGGATAGTGGGCACCCACACTCGCACATACACATTGATGTTACAATGTCAATTTTCATGAAACATTTTAGTAAGAGATTGGTTTTGTTTGTTTTGTCGTTTTACAAAAGTTTACACCATATGCGGGTATATATTATTGGATTTTGATTGGCACGTTTAATGTTTTGGGGTGCATCCAAATTTTATATGCCTGACAGCATTCTGGACACATGAAAGCCTGAATTTACGTACATAACGCAATGGAAAATGGTTTTGAAAAAAAGACTGACGGTATTTTGTGATGGGGTATTCCTACTGTGATTGCTATGTTAATGAGTTGAACGTTTTTGTGATTATGGTTATAAGTGCATTCAAATGTTTTAAGTTTAAAATTATTTTGTTAATTGTAATTAACTGACAAAGGTTTGTTTTTTCATTTTTATAACAGAGTGTGAAATTTTTTATTTTAATTTTAAGAGCCGTGTGTGCGTCCTTTTGCCATCATTGGTTGAAGAATTAAGTTATTAATTGGTGAAATTTGAGAATTCATTTTTGTAAAAAAAAAAGTAAGTTTGCTAATTGTTGTGGGGATAAATAGATTCGGCTAGCATGGTTTAGGATTTTCGAATGTGTTTGGGTCTGTGTCCTGGAGTGGAAATGGTCACACCTAGCTATATAGTTAGGGATCCGATTATTTATGGGAGTAGAATGAGGGCCTGTGCGGTATAAAGTATTTATATCCAATAAATATACCCTAAGGTACATCCGGGGCCAAGTTTGGGGTGGGGTCCGATGACCTAGTGGAATTGGTGAAGTGGCTTGTGAGATGCCAAGTTGCGATAGGATTGAAGGAGCCCTTGTAACCACAGTAGAGCCAGCGATGGATTTGTTAGATGGTGAGCGGGTGTGTTTTTTTCCCCATGTGTGCAGCCAGGGGCAGAAGAATTTGAGATGATGCCAGTTGAGTTTTGGGCACCCACAGGCAGATGAACAATTACAGTAATGATAGGAAATTAATGATGGTAAAAATTGTGATGATCTATTCAAGTGAATCTGATAATGGGTAACAAAAAAGCAATTAATTGGTTGTTTGAATAAATAGGGTGATAATGAATTATGTGTGCTGTGTCACTGTGAGTGGGGAAGGAGTGAAGATCATAGAATATTTAATGTGTAAAAATTAAGTGACAAGGACGTGGCCCAGTTATGAAATTGTTGGACGCTGTGACGTGGGGCTTTTGGCATGTATTGTGTGTTTTTGTTGTTTTTATAGATTTTTTTTTTGGGGGGGGGAGTACCAGTATTTGTTTTTCAATTAATTATATGTACATTTTGTGAAGCCTCAAATTAAGAAGCAAGGAATTTTGTTCTCCCCAGGAAAATTAGATTGCAGAGATAGTACCAGCTGATTTGGGTGAAGAAGATATTGAAGATGTCAGAGTTTAATGTTGGAGTGACTTGTATCCAAACTGGCGTCTGAGGCACTGGCTTTAGGTCACAGAAGATAGTGTCTAAGAATGAATAAAGGATTGTCCAGTATTCTGTCTTATGTTAAAAAAAAGTTTGTGAAGCGCGAAAAATGGTCAGAATTTCGTTGTTATGTTAATTCTTTTTCAGAAATTTTATCTGTGCATGCTGGAGTGGTTATGTGACCGAGGCCCAATGAAAAAATTGTAAGGAGCACGCCCTACAAACACGAAATTATAAAGGATATTTTTGAGTAAATAGTTGAAATAAAATTCATAAATGAATTTTTTTCGATGGTTAAGTAAGGAATGTTAAATAATAGTTTCAGACTATTATTTTTTAATGGCAGTGTATTTGGCTCAGACCTTCTGAGGCTGACCTTGGGGTCAGCTGGTAGGCAAAACAAAGTTGTTTTGATTGGCTGAGCCGAACGTGGGAATGTTACAGATAGAAAGTGTTTTCAGGGAGTAAGTTTTTACACGTCGAAGAGATCAGACGTGGTTATTTCGTGTTCCGGTGAACTTGCTCTCCAGTGGGGGTCTGATAGAGCGACCCCCCTCCCGCCTAGTTAAAATGTACACGTCCACATGTTTAATAAAGTAGTAAATCAAAATCCCTTTTATTGAAGTTCTCATTTTACATCCGAACAAACTAATTAGCGATCACCCGGCCGAGAGAAGACAACTTTATTATGATCGCCTCAAGACCGTCACCCCCAAGACTACCCCCCAACACGAAGTGGGGTATACAACAGGAAGTTCAACTGATAGATCGACACCAGGTACAGTGTAATCATTAATCAGGATTTATATTTTCTACTCCTTTTTGCTTTTGTAACTAAAATGTATTTCCTGTTACATGGCATTTCTATCTGTGCTTATGTAGGCCTGAAATGTTTTGGGGCCCAAAATGGACTACGAGAAACAAAATGCTGAGAAACACTGGTTTAGAACGATAAACCTTAGAACATACAACAATTTAAATATTCAGGAAAAAATGCGACACCGAAATCCGAAGTCGCATCCTGTTAGCGAAAGATGCCTTCCAAAAAAGCCAAGTAAAGTATTAAGAAACATTAAACTTTTCGTTAGAAACATAAGCAAGAGCACTTAGCTGTTATGCAATATTTGTCTTCCTTTATGGCAGTGAATGCTGAACAATCTCATCACAGGAAGATACTTGAAGCAACAGAAATGTGTCTCTACAGAAAGATGATGAGAATAACATGGACTGAACATATGAGCAATGATGAATTTTTAGATAAAACTAGCAGCTGACCCGGCGTTGCCCGTGCTTGATTCAAAAATCGTACGCCTCATACAGCAATCGCTATCACTTGACTTAAAATATTTTTGCCCTTCCTTGTCTTTAAAGGAGTGCCCTTTGCCGTGCTGATGTTGCTACATGCCTTACTTCTTGCCTATCTCACACTGCGAATTTTTTCTAAGCTCTATACTAAACATTAAATCTGTTACGAAAAAATAACTAAACAAAATGAACACAAAACGATCAGCTTTAAAAAAGGACTCGTAACTGGAAAAACCGAATGAAATAAGAATGTTAACAACAAATACTTTTTTCACACCCAACCCAGTTCTGCGGAATCAGAATCAACGTTGAGTTTAAACAAGCGAATGAGCCAATTGGAGTAAAGTGCCATGCAGATTTAAATTTTTCCCACTTGTGACAAATGTAGCTATCGATATTTTTTGCATGCTAGCATGCTAGTTAACATTCGTGTCAGTCAGCTGTTGGCTCTCACACTGGCCAATAGAATCTTCCTACCTATTCGTGGCAGCCAGCTATTGGCTCTCACTCTGGCCAGTAGAAAATGGCCGCAAACTACATGAAAACTGCCATAGAAGCATGAAAAAATCGATTATTTCCACTATCGATAGGAGTTGGGAAATGCAAAGTCGGTTTTGGCCTTCCCGCTAACTTGGAGCATGTGCATGTAAAATTTGGTGCAAATCCATCGAAAATTGCGTCCGTGCATTCGTTACACACACACACACACACACACACATCCTGCCTTTTATAGATAGAGATGGCAACAAAAAGAATACTTACATTTAACATAAGAGACAGCTGAAATTTGTAGGGCACATAATAAGGGAAGAAAGCTTGGAAAATTTGACATATTGAAGGGAAGGAGGACGGAGGAAATCAGCGCGTAACCTATTTGATATAACTTGTGTAAAAGTCTATCAGGACAGGAACAAGGAGAGATAGCGAAAGGACAAAATTTACTAAGAGCTACAAAGCACAGGAAATTGTGGAGAGCCATGACCGCCCACGTCCTGAAAAGCTAAGGTACATAGAAGAATGTTTCTACAGTATACCTTGTAAATATTGACACTGTATTGGGTAAATTAAAATTAGAAATAATTTTACAGTCATTGGAAAATGAGATGAGATAAAGATAGAGCGAATGATTGAAACGAAAACATTTTTCGATGATAAAAGCAAACAATGTTCATTTGTCGAAGTTTTCCAGTTTTCAAAATGTCGGATAAGCGATCAGTTATCTATACTAAATTACATTTAAAAATGTTTAAAAAAAAATACTTCCCCACCTGGAGTGTTTCTGGAGGACCGGCGTTGTCTGTTTTAAAAGCGAAACAAAGAGCAGAAGAGACAAGAGGGTGAACGAGACAGTCATGGCGACTCAGTCCTAAAGGCATGATAGGAATCTGCCCTGGTACGTTTGGATAGCCACCTGATAATGAAAGATTTCATTTCATTAAAAATATAAGTAAAATAAATATTAAAATGAATTGATTGTACACAATATCTGAATATAATTTCTAAAATATTGTTATATACCGTACTTATGAACACTAATGTGTATGTCCCAATCCTCATAAATACGTTGGACATTATTGTAAGTAGAGTTATATACTGTCTAGCAGTGGTTTACCTACTTCACATCGCTGGCGAGTATTGTATTTTGATGATATTACAAAGATTACCATTTCATTTCCAACCCCCGTTTTGGTTATTCCTCATTCAGTAACCTTTTCTAGGTTACAACACTTTCTTTCTTGCTTGCTTTCATTCATTCTTTCTGTTATATACAGTACCTATGAACACTAATACCTATATCCCAATCCTCATAAATACGTTGTAAGTGGGGGTAATATACTGTCTAAATAGTCCACCACTTGCAGTGGTTTACCTACTTCACGTCACTGGCGAGTATTGTATGTTGTTGATATTATAAAGATTACCATTTCATTTCTAACGTCCGTTTTGTTTATTCCTCATTCAGTAACCTTTTCTAGGTTACAACACTATCTATCTATCTATCTATCTGATATATACCATACCTATGAACACTAATGGGTATGTCCCAATCTTCATAAATACGTTGAACACTATTGTAAGTGGTGGGTAATATGCTGTCTAAGTAGTCCACGAATATCAGTGGTTTACCTACTTCACGCCGCTGGCGAGTATTTTATTTTGTTGATGTTATAAAGATTTGTTGATGTTATAAAGATTTGTTGATGTTATAAAGAATAACCAAAACCTTCGTTTTGGTTATTCCTCATTTCTAGGTTGCAACAAATATCAGAAGTGCCATTCACTCTAATATTTTTTAATCATTTCATCCCAAACAAGGCAATAAAGCAACTAAGATGCAAGGAGTTACTCACTGTGAAAGAATATGAGAAAAAGAAAACATTATTAAGGAGAAGGAACATTAAACGTACGGAAATTAAGAAGAGAGAAGATAACGATTGATATTACAATTAAATATTTGAATTAAATATTTGATATTTTGACTGGAAAGCAAGAAACTGGAATAGAGTTCCACAAGCGATGAATAAAATTGTTAGCATATAAGTTACGGTTACGTCTAGTAATTCCAACTATAAAATGATGAGACCTAGCTGCCAATCTAGTAATGCGCTTAAATTTGTAAAGTCGATGCACCAAAGATGAAAACCCATCAGAACAATTACCATAAAAATATCGTTAAAAAAAAACAGAGGGAAGTTGCGTTAAGGTGGTGGCAATGTGACTGAAGTCGAGATGACAGGTCAATACCAATATTATTGCAGATTCCTCTTTTGATTTTATCAAGAATCTCTTAATGTTACGAACTTTTATTCCGACCAAATAGCGTAGATTATTTGTTTTTGCCCACGATACGAAATATAAAAATATCAATTCCCTCCCGTTGATTTTTAATTGATTTCTTTAGTTATAAATGTAATAACCTTATTCTGTCAGTAATGTTGTATTCATATGCAAATCGCCACCTTATAAATAGCAGTTGATACAACTGGAGGCGAAAAAAATTCTAACCTTTTAACTGGGATTTTTATTCTTTGAATAGTGGCCCAAACCCCCACCAGGGGGGGGGGGCGCTTTCCTCCTAAGCAGTACCTCTCTTTTGGGAGGGAGCCGGGTTTATTGCCCAGTGCCTGAGGCGTCCGCAAAAGGAGAAATGTCGAGGGAGCTTGAGAATTTTTACGCGGTGCGGTCGTTAAATCCACTTTAAACCTCGTCCTTGTGTTCATCCGGCCGCGACGTGGACGCCCTGGTAAATACGACAAATTATAACCTTGAAGACGAAACTACTAGAGAAAAAGTAATGAATACTTTTCAATAATTATAGTTTACAAGTAAAGTGTGCCTTAATTTTTCACCGCAAACAAACCTTAGTTTCTTCATTTCTATAGTATAATATTTTCAAATGTATTTCTGTATTAAACGTTTAACAATTATGTATATAACAGATTTATTATGGCAGTAATACCGGAAATAATTCCTTACCATAGATAATCTATTTGTAACACCTCCATTTATAACATCGCTATTCATAAGCTAATTTTCAATACACAACATACATTGTCACAAAACTTGCTGAAACAAGTTTTCGATTTGAAATTCTAAAATTTCATACACAGCGATCATTTTTTTTCTGTCGTCAATAACAGTTTAGTATCTGTCTATATTTCTGAGATGAGGTATTATGTACACTATTTACATTATTCGGACTATTGTCCTCATCTTTGTCGCCATATTTATTACAACGTTTCGGCCGTTGTACGCTCCGGCCTTCTTCAGGTGGTTGGAATGTCGAACTGAAGACATTAAGTTTATAATTCCCAGAAATTCATACACAGATGTCCTCAAGGACACATGGCACAGTAGATAAAGGCGTTAGTTAGCTCCACCCAAAGAGTGTGAGTTCAATACCCGGTTGATGCAGTGGAGAACTTGTAGAGGGAGATTAACAGGAAATAACTGATAACTGACATCCATTAAATATGGCACATAGAACTAGAACAGTCTACTCCCGTGACCGAAATTAGTTCGACATTTCAACCACCTGAAGAAGGCCGGAGCGTACAACGCCCGAAACGTTGTAATAAATATGGCGACAAAGATGAGGACAATAGTCCGAATAATGTAAATAGTCTAAATAACAGTTTATTTGTGCAGAAAAAATGGTAAAATTAAATTAATGCTAATCAGAGAAGTGATACAAGTATTTACACGGCAACTGTTCCGACGGACTACTTTCGCTGGTTCCCAGAGTGCATGAATTTAAGCGAGCTGTCATCTCGGTACCACCCTTTCACTGTCAAAACGGTTAAAGGCAACCGTCTCTTCTACTGAAACAGCTTCTTCTCTCGCACTTCCCGTCTGTGGAACTCCCTTCCTCTTGCTTGCTTCCCTAATAACTATAATCTTCAAATATTCAAGTGTAATGTCAATCGATATCTTCTGATACCTTAATCTTGTTATCCTTCTCTGTATCCTTTCCTCAAACACGCCTCTTTACTCTTGTTCACAATCCTCTGTAACCCCTTGCGTAATAGTGACACTCATGCCTTACTTGTGATGAATTGCTTAAAAAAAAAGATAGTAGACAGTGATAAGAAAAGCTGAAATCTATAACACACGCCCTAAAAGGACATGACACATCGTCGTTGGCGGAACTCGTTGCCGAGTATTAGGGTGCTCATCGTCATTTCCTTCTGTGTGAAATGAGTCCTATGTTGAATCAGAGGAGACGTCGGCATAGGAAGGTTCAGGGAATGGAGAGTTCTGGCTTTTCTTTGGGCTTTCTTTGTCTTTTTGTCTTCTGGTGTTTTGGAAGTCGACAGATCTCGTTGTCGAGTATTGTGATGCTCATATACATTTCCTTCTATATGAAGCGTAACACGAATTTGATGATAGCACATATAAATATAACCTTTGATACACGTTGCCAATTATCAAAAGAACAATAGACAAATGCAACAATTACGATGGGATAGTGAAGTAGGAAATTGACCTCGATTCAAAAATATGTGTAACGTCATCAGTTTGATTTAAAACGAAATAAGTACTCATGACTACTCAGATTGTATTTATATCATTCAATGTGTTTGTTTTAATTCATAATAAATTGGTTAGTGAAGGCATTAAAGGCTTTTCTGTTCTTTCCTTTTATGTCGCCTGTTTCTCAGAAAATATCTACAATGTTTTAAGTTATTTCATTGAAAAAGAAAAAAGAAAGATTTACCTGGATGCCAAAACCCGATAACACTCTGGTTCTTAAAAACCCAGTTGAACAGTTTGGGTACGGCAGGTGGGGAACTGACGCCATTCACTCCAACAGATACAGCTTTGATATTGTTCTGAGCTAAAATAGGGATCACGGCTTGTGTCATTCCTGCAATGTTTCAAAAGGGATTTTATTTTATTTTTAAATTAATACTTTTAACACATACTATATATTTTATAAAATCTAAAATCCACAAATTTTATTTGCTTTGTGTTCTGATATATATATATATATATATATATATATATATATATATATATATATATTTGTGTATTTAGGCAGCAATCCTACTTTCATGCACATTTCATTGAATACGATAGACAAGGTGCTTTTATTTAGTTTTTTATACAATTTCACATGCGATCTAATAAGTTTTTTTCTCTTTTCGGATGATAAATGTTCTTTTTATCCGAGCGATTTCGGCTATTCATTTAGCCGTTTTCAAGGATTAAATATTTTAACTGTTAAATAAGAAATGGTTTGTTGCATGTATGTTTTATAAAATGTTTTCATTTTTCAAAACACGGTCAAGATATTTTGTTCATGTTCATATTTTATATTATTAAGTGTTGTTGTTTTTTTTTTCATTAATAAGGCTTCCATTATTTTTAGTCTTTTTTTGCATGTAGATGATGCTATTATATTAGTGTTGTCAACAAGTATGTTACGAATAGTGTCCGGTAGGTCTCCATGAATATTTAAATGAGATCTAATTGAGCTATGGTCCGAAATATGTAGAATGAGTCTGCGTGTCAAACATGTTGTAGTGTGGCCTATATAATTATTTACGAATTTTGATTGATCAGGAATAAAATTCCTTAATGGGCATTTAAATTTGTAAATAATATTTGCCCTATTTAATTTTGTTCTAAGTGGTGAATTATTATTTTTAACTATAAGGTTAGATGTTTTAAACTTTTTGTAATAAATAATTAATCATATTTTTTTTTTTTTTGCTATTGTCAAAAAAAATGTTTTTACATTTTTTGTATTTTTAGACACACACACACATATATGTGTGTTTGTATGTATGTGTGTGCGTGTGTGTGTAAAAAATTCAGATAGAGTATAACTGTAAAAGGACAAAAGGAAATTCTCGAAAGTGCTACTATTGAATCTCATAATTATAATTCTTTCCAACCTGCCTTCTGTTATTCTAGATATTCCGTCTATTTTATTTTCCACTTTTATCCACCCTGTCTGTTTATTCCAACCTGCCCATTTCTTCCAATCACCTCTCCCTCTGTTTTGTCCCGAAAACAAATGAATTTTAAATGAATTGTCCAACTTACCTTTCTATTCCGAACTTAAGAGTAATACTGTAGGTATAAATGTCCATTTACCTGGTACATCCCGTTGACTCATTACTTTGGTCTTTCGAGTAATGTTAAAATATTTGTCAAGATCATCACTGAGACGTAAACTGAAATTGAACAATTCAGGGGAGGCAACTTCCGGTTGCAAGTTCATAGCCCCAGCGTGCCAAGTAATGTACCCTTTCCTCACAACCATCTCAAAATTAGCTAAACTGGTTGCATTCGGACACTGTAAAAGAAAATAAACATTTCTTTAACAAAATGCAGTCAATTATCTGTTTTTTTCTTTAATTTAATTAATAGATCAATGAGAATCACCATAAACCCTGTTTTTTTTTAAATAAAAAATATAGTTAGCATAATCAGGAACAAGGAAATATTACAATCAAATAATGCAATTATTCAGTGTGTGCAAAAGTTGGCAACATATTTTTGTGAAAACTAGAGGCTAAATATACAATATAAGACCCTTTATTTAATTTTAAAAAATGGAAACTTCTGCACGTACATGATATCAATCAAAATTCAGATCTTTATATCTTTTTAATTTTTTAATTAAATTTAATTTAAATAATCTATTTTTCACAATGTTTAACTTTCGTGCCCACAGAAAGGACGGTTGTTCCCTCGACATGGCAATTTCATCCCTTACCCAAAATGTAATGAGAACAATAGAACAAGTAATACAGTAATAAAAAGCTCATGTACTGGATTAAGTTTATTCACTTTCATTGATGCAGTCAGATATCGAGAAGGTTGTAGAATCTCCCACAACACAACCAGCCTTACCTCTTCGTAGGAAATGCACTCTTCCTCTCTGGTAAGCCAAATTCTACTTTCAGACAATATAACAAGTAGTCATTGGTCAATCACCTCCAATCTGGCTTGCTGATTGGTCAGTTCCGACCAATCAAACCGCCTGCACGCGACCAATCTGTTTTCCCGCTCATATGTTGGGAGCCACTCAGTGATTATATAAACAGAAAACGTGTGAACCTTCCGAGGAGTAGTAATTACCAAGTTTCAAGATGTAACATTCACTGACTCCCGTCTTAGTCATTGCTGACCAGACGTTAAAGACAATTACCAACTTTAGACAGTCAGTAACAACCACAGAGAACTTTCCAAAATACTCCACGTCACTAAGAATCACGATTTTTCCGCGCAAAAGATACATCATCGCTGACTCATACCCGATCGAGACTTAATCAACTCTGTGGACATCATTTCTCAACTTTTCTTATCATAAGTGAATCATATTCGCTACTTATTAAGTAAACACTAACGAACGAACGACCTTAGAAAAACATCACATTACAGTTAAAGGTAGACCACTCTTAAAAACTCTTTCTATAAGACATTTAATATCAACAATCGCAAATATCGACACAAATAAAAAATACTGCAAATGAACAAACAATTACAAAGAGAGACATTCTGAAATCTAAAAAAAAACCATACACATTTCGCCTACATAACAAACATCAATTATCCTGTCTGTATATTGTTTGAATTGTATATAAATGTTGTATTGATTTTTAATTGAATATGTCTCGTTTTTCAATTGCATTTTAAATTTCGTTTATTTATTTGTTTGGGATGCAGAAAGTCACTCAAATTCCTTCTGATTCTTTCTAACATCATTAATAAATTCTGCACGTCCCCAACAAGGTCTGTATGATGCGGCGCCATGTCCTGTGTGATATTTTACGAAGCTTTGTTGATTGTTATAGGGGTGACAAAACTTTCGGACCATCCTGTACATTAACTTGCAATTTAATGAATTAGATTTTTTTTAATGCCGAGAACTATGGTATTCTAAAATTGTCAAAAACAGTAAAATTAAGCAAAGACACATCTAAGATGGAGAATCATAAGCTGCGCTTAGAATATTTCATTCTTATTTATATTATCGACACGCTGACTATTATCCTTATCTTTATTGTTTTTTAGTTGTTTTTTTTAGTTGTTTTTTTTTTTGTTTTTTTTTATCACAGCGTTCCGGCCGTTATGCCCTCCAGCCATTATCGGATGCTTGTTGATCCGGGCAAGAGAATTTCGAACTGAACACTTTATTTAAACTAGGGAGTAAATTATTTAATCTAGTGAGGTAAATTGTCCTTGTTCCGTCCCTACACGCAAGCCACAAGTGGCCCGCTGGCGGGACGCCGATGACAACGCCAGCGATCCTCTGGTGGCAGCTACCGACAGGCCACCGATGGGCCTCTAGCGGTCCGCCAGTGGTAACATTGCCGAGACGAACTCGCCGGCTGTCCTATAGCGGGCCTCCAGTGGTAAACGCTAGTGACATGCCACCCAGTAGCAGATTAGTGGCTTGTGTATAGAGGTAGACCATGTTTGGCAATAATTCGTTTTCGTATCTGGCACTGTTGTTAACTGAGACAATGAATAGCTTGTTAATATTACCACCTCTAAAATAAATTAAAAAAAAACTGCTCCCTATTAATCCTCTGAGAGAAGCCTTTCTACACTTCCATCAGTATGGCTGATGCTAACCTCCTGGATAGTGACTCATTGCGCCTGCTCGCGCTGACGTTCTCCACTGACATGAAATGGAAAGATTTCATTGAATCAATTACGAGGTCAGCTGTTAGGAAAGCTGCTTCATTGTGTCATGTAAAACTTTTTTTTTCGCCAAAATCTATCTTACGAGCTTAAAAGTCTACTATTCGACTATGTTGTGAATATTGCTGCCATATATGGTCTGGTGCTCCTGCCATATATTTAGAGATCTTTGATAAAATCCAAAGAAGAATCTGCAATGTTATTGTTCCTAACCTGGCATCCCGGTCCCAGTCACTTTGCCACCGCCGTAATGTTGTTTCCCTGTGTCTTTGCTACAAATACCTTCCTGGTAATTGTTCTGATGAACTCTCCTCGTACTACACTTCACTAATTTAAGCGCTGTACTAGATTTGAAGCAATGTCTTATCATTTTACAATTGAAATGGCTAGATATAACCGTAAGTTCTATGCGAACAGTTTCTTTTCTCGCACTTCTTGCTTCTCACCTCTTTCCAGTTAAGTTTGATCTTCAAAAATTTAAATGCAATGTCAATCTTTATCTTCTGTCTTCTTAATTCCTATTCTTTCTCTCTCTCTCTCTCTCTCTCTCTCTCTCTCTCTCTCTCATGTTCTTTAGCTATCAGTAACCCTTGCGTCTTAGTGGCTTTATTGCCATGCTTGGTGTGAAATGATTGAAAAAATATCGATGTTTTCCCCAATCCTTCACGTTGACCGACATAGGAATTAATTGCCGCCTGTTCAATTGCGTTGGAACTCAAGACAATTCGTCCCTGCTGATCGAAAACTGCCTGCACCAGCCGACCTCAGACTGAACTGTTACCAACTTTTCGCATTCATATGCGCTTAAACTATTACACGTACCATATATTGACCTCGTATAGTTCACAGTAATAATGGTTTAAATGAATGAGGGAATAAAAAATTAATTGATATTCGTTATTTTAATACAATATTTATTCATACAACCATACTTGCCTATTGTCATATGTATTGGTGACCCAAACCACAGCAAAAAAGAGGCTCAACTTTATGCTTACAGCTAATTTGATGCCAGATAGCTTCATCTGTGACGGGCAGTTGATATAAAGGCTGACAAGCCATGGGTGAGTCGTGTATACCAATCGTTCCACATAACCACTGTATTCCAGTTGCAACGCCAATGACACAGCACGGGGGAAGTAAACAGTAAAATAACGATTTAAAACATTATTCACAAATCCAACGGTAGGATTGATGCCATTGA